TAGTTTTAATGTTTCCTGTAAGTCGCCCAGAGTCCCCTATTGTGGGGGAGATGGGCGGGGGGAGAAATCCAATAAATTAAATTAATTAATTAAATAAAACTGATCAACTCTCTCCCCAAATCCCCCCCCCCAAAACACACACAACTTCATACACCTTCAAACCCCATTTTTCTGTTTGGAGATTTACTCTCCTACTTCATGATATCCAGTTAGATGGGTCAGGCTAGGCCGTTTCAAAAATGATGGGTCATGTGATCAAGTCATCAGCTCCACTGCTGCCATTTTCATTCTGATTATGTGCCATCCAGTCAGTGCCAACTCTTAGTGACTACCTTCTGCAGGATGATCTGTCCCCTTCAGGTCTTCCAACTCTGCCCATACTGTTAGTCGTCATCTTCTCTTTCTTTCTAGCTTTTCCAGCATTACAGACTTCCCAAGAGAGTTAGGAGAAGACGTAAAGTGTCCAAGATATAATTTGAGCCTGCTCATTTGTGTCTTTTCATTAGCTAGAATATTTTATGATAGGGGTGACTGCCTAAATATAGTTGAATGACAGTTCCCAAAAGCCTTAGCTAGTATAGTCAATGATAAAGGAATTGTAGCTAGGCATCATCCGAGGAGTCTCAGATCCTATAATCCCAGCATACAAAGATAAGCACTCCCAAAGAAGACAATAAACTATGAAAGCCAGAAGTTGCTCAGTTACTATTTTATGGGACCACTGTTCCTATAGCCTGCAGCAGATACTGTATTGTTTAAAAAATGAGTCTCTTGTCTACGTTTGGCATCATTCATTCATTCATTTTGTGGTACTTATACACTGCCAACTTTATACACATCCCCAGCAGTTTACAACATATAAAATCCATAAAATATGGGACATACCACCACCACCCCAACAACAAAAGCAAACCCTGCCATCTGAGCATTTCCAGAACTATTGCAAAGCAAACATTCTACTACAGAAGAGCTTTGTCTGGACTGTCCTCCAGAAAATGCAATGGAGGGTGCCATCCAGATCTCCCTAGGCATGGTGTTCGGCAGGAGAGGGATATAACTGGGAAAGCAATGTGTTCTTGCCCCCTCTCCTCAGATCTCATTGGGGTGGAGTTACATGCTCCTCTGGGCTGAACACACTGAACAGGTTGGTTCTCCATGAAGCAGGTGGCCCTGCAGAGAGACGTAGGCACCAAGGCGTTAAGAGCTTGACAGGTTAAAACCAGCACTTTGATCTGTATTCAAAAGCCTTTGGGCAACCAACCCAGTGACTGGTACAGTATACTGGAATTATATGGCACTGGCAGCTCTCAGCCTTCGTGAGTAGGCTGCTGCATTCTGCACGTTATGGTCTAAGGTGGTAGACAGGCGCACATCAAGAAATTCATCTTTGATGGCTAGGATATTAAATTGCATTAGAAAAGGAAAGAAGCAAGTGTCCATATGCCATCCTTTCTCAAATGGTTTCAAGGCTATTTGCAAAATTGCAGTTTCAATTCAAAAACATCAATAAGCCAATCAATAAAATTCAGTAGGAATCATTCATACAATTGCTGCAAGGCATAAGTAGTAAGTGGACATTTATTGGTGTTCATTAGATTACATTGGGATTACCTTAAAAAAAACCCAATACGCTCATGGAAATGTATATAGATTTTGGAACTCAGCTGGAGATTGCCCTACAAGCCAGCATGGCCAATCAAGAATGAAGAAAGACATAAGCCAAAATATCTAGATTTTGTTGTGTTAGGGGAGGCTGGTCTATGGTGATGGGTGCATCATCTAAAAAAATAATCATTTTTTTTCTTTTGAATCATTCATATGCAAATTTGGGTTGAGCATCAATTTGCCCCACTTTAATCAAGTAAATCAATCACAGCTCACAACCAGCTAAGTTTTCCTTCAGTGGCGACGGCCCTATTTAGAAGCAATGATCCTTCTTTAATGCATCGATGAGCAGCAGTGAACTGAAACTCATTGGAGAAGACATTCAACAAGGGAACCCCCAAAGAAGCAACTGGTTTTTGAGTCCTAAAGAACTTGTACATTCTGGTTTTCCAGTTTGGCTTCCTCACTTGGTACAAACGTTATCTGTCTGTCTGTCTGTCTGTCTGCAATAGGTCAAAAGTGCAGAAAAAGTTAAGAAGTAGACACTAATATGCTAAGTTGCAGCAATTTCATAGAAACAAAAGCTGAAAACCGATTTAATCATATTAATAACTTTGTGCTGCATGATTATTCAACTTATAATTATTGTACATTATTCATCAAGTGGCAACCAGCACTTAATTTGATTAGTACTTTTAATTGTTGGCTGAATTGCTGTTAATTCCAGGTTCATTAAGCAAGACAGTACAAAATAAAAACAGGTTTTGCTCTGCTAGGAAACTTAATTAAGAAATGGCTTCTTTAACTCACTGTAGCAGATGCAGCAAACTTAAATTTGACTAGGGAACTGGCAAATGTCACATACATTCATTATATTTGTGTGACCAAGGAAGGCAGCTGATTACTCAACTGAATCTTCTGCCATGCAGAACTGGGAAAAAGAAGATCTCCAACTCTTTCCAACCTGACCTTCAACTAACTCAGGAGCCAAGGCTGTATTTCATTTCATATAAATTTAGAAGCAAATTGCACGTAACATTTTTTCATGATTTTTCCCCCAACCTGCTTTCAACCCTGGTCAATTTTGCTTTATCATTTCCCCAGTTCCCTGATACATATCTTTCCAAAGTTGCCCTTTACCCAGAAAGGGACTTTTTAGCAGTTGTGAAGGTAGAATTTAGTACAAAAACAATGCAAGGTAGTTATCTAGATTGAGAGTGAATACTGCTACTTTTCCTTCAACAGTGGCCACCTAAGAACACATTTTTAAAAATGCATAAATAATATCATATGTGGCCATCAGTTAAAGCAGAAAGTTTAATGAGATTTTCAAACTGCATGGCCTTCAGTAATTTTATTAGAAAGAAT